ACATGAGTCATGTGCATCAAGTTCCGTGCCCATCAGCGACTTGCTCACCCTTGCCACCAATCCCTGAACGCAGGCGATCTCATCCACCCTACCCTTTACGTCCTGCGTAGGCAGTTATGCCAAAGCCGAGAGGTCTCGCGATCATTTCCAAGTGCCCAACCTCAGCCACGTGGTACAAGTCCAGCCCGCTCGCCGATTCAGTGAACAATATCTCATCCATTGGAGGAAATTTCCACGTCTCAGTCTCTCTGACGAGGCCTTTGCTACATGGTCAGTCACGATGCTGCCCTCTCCGGATACATGAAGCAGTCACTCAATGTCCAACTACGAAGCGCCTGCTCCGCATCGAGGGGCGCACCTCGACGAGAACAGGGCAGATGGGCACTCGGCTAAATATCGCTGCCGCGCAATCCCAAACCATGTGGTTCGGATCCACCGTCGCAAGTATGCTTGGTATCCTGGAAGCCCGGTGGCACTATGGACACGTGACTGGTCGAGCTAGTTGCTGTTCTCGAAGCCATGTCGGCCCGGAGGCTAGACCATGGTCCGTCCTAGGGCTATGCGTTCAGCCGGATGTCTCACTGGGCGTTGACGATCAGCGACACGGTGAGAGCATGCGAGGCATGCCACTAACAGCATCAGCCTCGTGACTCTGAACGATCCATACCTGAGTCGAGTAGTTGCGGGCGTGCTGATTGGTGCATCGCGCTCGGCTTCCTGTGGGATTGTTCACAGCCGTCACAACGCCTTGCCTTTGTCGCGCACTCGTCAGGTCTGGATGCTAAGACTCGGAAGCTTGCCGAGCCGCCTTAGTCCAGCAGCACCAGAGCCGCAAATGGCGTTCCTACGGACATTGAAAGCATTCCCCTGTCGAGACGCCGACGGGCGCCTGTGTATGGCGGAAGAAGACCGGGCCAGACTTCCCCGTGCAGGCCAGCCGACCGCCTCGGCGAGTGCACCGCGAAACGACTTTTGGACCAAGGCAATGACGGCGCGTGGGGGATGCAGCAGGGATGAGGAGGGGGGTTCCTGGCATCCCGTTCATCAGTACGACACACGAGAGAGAGACCCTGGTCCGGCTCGGCTAGTCCATTCCACTTGCCAGACGAGGGCCAGAGTGCCACGCTGTGGTGCGGTGCCCTCGGTGCCGTCCGTGTGTCTCACAAGAGATGCTGGACGCAGACCCTCATTTGGCCATGGGCCGCGTGCTGATCATTTGCTGACGAAGATCACGGTGCCCAGAGCAAAAGTCTCGACGATGCACCAGCGCCCCACGAAGCGGCACCGTCCCCCCGTCGTCCTCTGGACAGCGTGAGCAGCACGCTCGGGGGTCCTCTGACAGGTCAGGGACGGCGCGTGACCCGATGCTGCTCGATGGCCGTGGTGGCTGCCGTGGGCGCTGATCAGCCGGCGGCGTGCCTCATCCTGCTCAATTGCATGGCAGCGCATGGTGTTGGCAGAGGCATGAGGCCTGGCCTTGTCTCACCTCCCCCGTCGTGCCAAACGCGTGGGGGTCCACTGCCACACCTGCTCCACAGGGGGTTTCGTGAGGTGGTTTGCGAGCCAATCACGGTGGGCAGAGGGACAGCCCGCCCAGGCCCCAGGCGCACACAGCCCGGCGCCCGCATTGGTTATTGATGCATCGGAAATAACTTGTCAGTGCGGTGGTCCGTTCGAGGCATCAGGGAATATCATCTCACGCGCGAACCATCACCACCGGCGGCACCCGCCCGATGTGGAGTTTTAAGGGTTCAACAAGGGCAGGGAGGACGTGCCATGGGATGGTCTGTTCTCGCGGGGCGCCTCTTTTGACGCTCCAAGAAGAACCGCAATGTTTCCGAGCCCCATGCAGCCCCAGAGGCACGAGAACCGCGACTGGGCTCCCGCACGGCTTTGCGAGGCGAAAACCCATCGTGAATGCGATTTATATCAAATCGCCAAGGCACGTCTTTGCCTTCGGCCGGCTCTTTCCTTGTGGGAAGGGGCTAGAGCGAGACCCCCCCTCCCCCTTGTTGTGTCGGACCGCAAGTGTGGCACCCACACACTGCGCAGAATAGGACTCCTCATGCATGTTCTTCACACGGATGGCGGAAGCGCGGAAGGCGGGATGCGGGGGGAGGGCCCGCGGCGCGTGGGCGCGGGACGGATCTCGGTGCGAGGAAGTGGTCTTTATAGCCGGCTGGGGGGGCTCTGAAGTTCGACGCGGTTTTTTTTTTTTGTGTCTCAGATTTTTATACAATTCACGTGGTATTGGGGGTTGGGGCTTGCGCTTTGAGGACATTCCCGTTCACTTCTTCGGCTGGGAATGTGAACTTTGCTTATGACTTACACCTACTACTCTCTTAAGAACATATATTCTTTTGGAATCTAGTGCCAGCAGAGTCTCCGATACTTGAGATAAGTACGCATGTCTTTCACGCAGGCAGTCGTATCGTCAACCCGGTAATGTATCTTGGTGCGCTCCTAGGGACTCCGACTCGCTCTGAAAGAATCACGACCCTGTAAACCCTGCCCAAGGTCTCTGTACATAAACTCAGTGCCGGGCTCGGGAGGTTCTGATATCTTATCTCTCGGAATAGACGTAGGCATGTGCTATTATACAAAGGACGACTTCTCACTTGGGAACACAGATATCCGTATCCTCGGCGTAGTGTAATCCAGCTTGACTCTCACCCTACAATACAGCTCAAGTCCCGGGCCGAGTAACCTTTATATCGAAAGAGGGAAACCACGACCTTGCTTGCGAGGCTGGCAACATTGTCGTGGAAGAACAATTGAACTTGTAGACGACGAGTGCTGCTCCGTGATGAGGTCGTCATCCTCGCCGCCAGAGCTGCACTGCCCGCTCTCCATACTGTCGTCGTGGATCTTGGATCCGACTGCCGAACATGGTCACGCCATGTCACGCCAGCCCCTGGTTCACAGCGAGGATGTGTCGCGTTCCTCCTCTGTGGTAAGTTGCCCGGCCAGGCTCGCACGCCCTGGCCTGCCGCTTAATTAGCTCCCGGGGAGCTTCCCGTCCGGCCTGCGTGCCTGCCCGTCGCCTGCGTACCTGTCTGCCTGCCTGCCTGTGGCGACTGGTCTCGCCGGAGGGTTTGTTCCCCAACCATACTCCTCAGTCGCCACCACCACCACTACCACCGCGAGGGTTTCGTGCGCACACCACCACACACTGCGCGCGCGTCCCGTGTGAAAGGAACGACCTCGAAAATCGCTTGTGCAGACACTGCATGGCTACCTGGGCCTCAACTGTGGCAGAGGCAACATCGTCAACTAGACACGCATGAATCTTTTTTTGTATAATTTTAACGCAATTTTTAAATTTTTTTTTGAAGACTTCACTTGCCTCGCACCTGACCTTGTGGCAGCCTCGAAGAATGTTCCGGAGGCCTGGGAGACTAAAGCTTTATCTCTTGGTGTGGAAGTTTTGGTGGGCATGGCGAGTGCGTTTCGAGCCGCTCGACGTCTCAGGCGGAGTGATGGCGGCGGCTACACTGAAAAGTGACCGTGTTGGAAACAGTACCGTTCTCCAAGGTATCCTTAAGTCTCCCATGATCATGGTCGGGTCGAGACTGTGGGCCAACGTGTAAGGGAGGCCCCAGGTACCACGTTCATAAAAGGCGACAACGGTGTAGGTGTCGACATGGCAATCTACACGCAGCAATAGCAGCCGCACCTTGCCAATACCGAATCGATATGTCTCGGACCCGGCAGCACGGCAGAGATGGGTGATCTATCTGACTGATCGTCCTGGCGATCTCGGGGCTTTCTTTGCAGAACTTGCAAGAGGCCTCGAGCACGTTGTGATTCCCGACCGTGGCGTGACATCTAGTTAGCTCACACAACCAGGAACACGGCGCTCTCGCAGCCACCATCGCCGTCCGATCCCCCAACGGCTGTGAGAAACGAGTTCAACAGCATAAGTCTCAACCATCGATGGGAAGGGCCAAGTTTCATGCGAGCTCCGTAGCAGGCCGGGGGGGCTGGCCCTTCCCAAACCCAGGGCGTCTGTACGCCATTGCTCTCCATCAAGAGATCCTTGATGAGACCGTCATCGAGGGCGAAGCACATCCTGTGGCTGGTCTCACGGGCAGCAATGCTGTGAAGAGTAACATAGCTGCCCCAACCAGCGATGGTAGCATAGCTACTCTTCATGCAAGAAACATTGGTAGAGGGGTTGGAGACCAAGGCAATGTGCCTCTCTCAAGCTCGTCGGGCTGCGTGTTCGGTGTTTGCGAATGCTGTACAATAAAGCTCGACCCCCTCCAAATACCGACGTCTCCAAGAGGACATTGGGCCATACTCGGTAGACGAGGAGAGGGAACGACTATTTATCACAAATCACGAATAGAAACCTAGCACAACCCGAAAGACCTGGAAAAGGTATTGTTGCTCAACTACAGCTGGAAATGAATACCGACTTCCAACGAGAACACCTGGGGCCCATCGCGAGATTCTGTCATGGTCATCTTATCTCGTCGTGTGACCAGATTTTGGGCACCAAGCCGAAGAATCTTCTTGAGTCACGAATGATGTGCAAGGCCACTGAAGATTTCCAATACTGGCATGGGCCCCTCATAGAAGTTGAGCTTGCGCGGGCAGTTTTAGTCACCGTCGATTCAGCTCGCAGTGTCGTGTCTTGCACAAACGTAGTTGCGTTGCGGAAAGCGGCGAGAACCTGTGGCCATGAAGAGGTCATCGTTCGAGCGGCGCACTCGACTTCTGAAGACATACGCCAACCTGGCGCATGGGTCGCAAAGGCATTGCGACTAGATTTCCAGTTTGGTGTTCGCATAGTCTCCCTGTTTGAGTCTTTGCGGCAAGTCGACGTATCCTTGCGTGTAGTCATTCACGCCCCATGGCTACCCATTCATCCCATCCACCACAACAGCCACGACAGCGGTTCCGGAATTCCCAGACATCCCCAAACGTCACTGGGCCTTCAGATGATTGTCATTGCATTATATATGCTTTTCAGAAGTAGCATCTTCATCAAACAAGGCCTTGTGGCGCAACGGTAGCGCGTCTGACTCCAGTTACTTGGAATCAGCTTGTCGATCCACGACGAGCAGTCTATCAGAAGGTTATCCGTTCAAATCGGGTCAGGGTCATTACTTTTGCCTTTTTGATGTTATTGCGATCTTGCAGGAGTTGTCCGGAGGCTTCGGAGGTGGTGGTGAGCTCCGAGGGGGCGGCCCCGAGCATCTTGGTTCATATTTTGGTCCGCGACGGTACGAGAGCGGCGAAAGTGGCATCACTGTGATCGCGGAGCTCGACTCTACCGGATTGCTGGTGCGGATTGGCCTAAAGGGTTGTGGTTGGTGGAGGAATTGGGGTTTTCACGGCCAGGGACCCATGGTGGGGAGCGTGGGTGCGACTTGGCGGCTCGTGCCGCTGGGGAAAGTTGGAGGTGGGGTCGATGGGCTGCTGTGTCTACAGGGCGATCGTTGGAGTTTCGAGAGCTTGGATGGACTCAGTGCGCTGTGGTTTGAAGATTATGGAGTTTTCATCGGATGAATGACTTGCGGTGATGCTTTGATGAGCATCTGGACTACGCTGATGTCGTTGGTGTTGTGTTGTGCAGCTCGTGCCTGCTGCGGCTATCAAAAAGTGTAACTGCACTTGCCCCGGCCATCCCACCAATATGTGTTTCAACCAGCAGCGACTCACACAGTAATGCATGCCTTCACGACGCCTCTTGAGGGTTGTCATGTTGTGCTTTTCCACACTTTGGTTTGACCTTATCTTCCCTTTGTCGACGGAAGCCAAATTCACCATTTCTCAGTGATTTGCAGAGCATCCAAGCCACCAGAGGGTGTGCTGTCCCATCAGGAAAGTCAAGTTGAGTATTGACGACGAATGTGAGTGCATAATTGTTTCGAAAGATCATCACCCAGACTGTCATATCATACTTGCGGCAGGATTTGCCCATCGTCGTCCGGAAGGATCTGTAGCTGAAACAGTCTCGGCCGTAGTCAGCAGAAGCTGCATGCTTCAAGGATACGAGAACCACGCTCATAAGCCGAAACAAATAGCGCGACCATTCAGACCTATGCTTACAAGATTGGGGCTCTTTAAACCTCCCTGATCGACAAGGAAGCAAGCCATGGTTCGTCATGACCCTCAAGTTCATCTCATCGCCGCTGGGTAATCCATCGAGCTATCGCTGTTTCCCACGCGGCCAACCAGGGAGCGCCTTCGCAGATCCACGTCGTGATGTTGCATCGCACAAGCTGGTTTCGAAGCTATTCCGCAAGACGTTGTTGGTCCACGCAACTTGTCCCGGAAGCCCAACCCTATCAACGCTGCACCAGCCTGTTGATAGAATTCCAACAGCAGTGCCAAGAGAGAAAGGAGCAACAAACCCGCAGCACAAGCAACAACCTCGGTACAGAATCTCAAAGCAGTAGCAATACAGGTCTAAGGATTCTTATGACGGACAAGCACATGATGCTGCATTCAGTCTCAGGAAGGGCAAATCTTCTTGGCATGCGGTCGTCCGGGACAACGACCATGTTTAATTGGCCCCGAGTTTGGATTCTTCCGCCGTGATGCTCCGTCAACGAGGCGTATATTCTGTTGAGGTAATATTGACTTGCCCGATTCACCTGGCTTAAGTGCGCATGTGGCTGCAGGCCACGATACAGCCTCGCCATTTTCAACGACGATGTGAGCCGAAGAATTAAGGTATGTAGTCCTCCCTTGCAGGTGCAGAGAAAGCATGACGTCCCTGTCATCAGGCAGCGCATCCATTGGTTTGTCCGGGTTGCAGTCCGACGAGGCGTCTCACATGCATATACATTACTTATGCAGCCTCGCGGCCGTGGGCTTATTTCAATGCGACCCATGCTTTTGGCTCAGACCTCCCTTCCAGCCACAAACAACAATACCAACTACACTTGAGGAGTCTGTATAGCACAGCTGAATTATCCTGACATGATGTGTGCAGGAAAGTCGATCCGGACCCCAGTGTTTGCCGGAGCAAAGTGCGCTCCTGAAATACTTCGTGCCGATCATGGCCTACAGCTTCGATCCAGGGCTCATTTGGGTGCATATGTTGAATCTCGATCCAAGCTTTCGAACCGGGCCTATCTTTTCAAGAGCCGCAGCTGGCAAGGGGCATATATAATGAGGGCTTTGGACCGAAAGAAGTATTGATTTTCAGATCATCAAGGGCGAGTATAGCTCTCACAAAATTGTGACTTGAATATTACTCTATTGAATACCCGCATCTGCAGACGGTCTACAATTATTTATCCATTCCAGCTCTTCCTAGCCGCAGCCGCGGCGTCGGCGGTGTTAGTACCGCGGTCAGACGAGGACCCGGAGCGCTACACCATCTGTGGCGGTGATAGAGGGTACCAGCCCCTGGTTCTTGTTGAAGCACCACGACAATGTGGCCCATTATTGAATCCATTACCCGAACCAAGTTGAAAGCTTGCTAATGAGCTATTTATACCCAGCTACGTGGAGAAAGACTCCCTCGAGGTCGCCAAGTACCTCCGAGACACCATTGTGACCTCGGACCGCTACTTCAGGGCAAAGGATAAGTGCATCTACGCCACGCGTAACACGACTATCACCAGCCTGTGCAATGGCAGCGCGCGCGACCGTCATGTTAATGGGGCTGAGGTCGGGCACGGCATAAACCAGCTCATCAAGGATTGTGGCCTGGACGGCGGCTTCACAGGTGTTCACGTTGTTAACAACCTCCACGTTCGCCGCATTCGGCACGAGCGGTGGCATCTACCTAAGTGGCCGCCCGGGCTCGCCCCCGCCTGACGTGCCCGGAGGAACCAGCCGCCGGTCGAGAGGCAGCAGTCTGGTCGAGAGGCAGCAGTCTGCTCGCGAAGCGCGACTGCGACCTCGCCTACGATGGAAAGTACAATGACAGCTGTTTTGAGCCCAAGCACGAACTCGACGACGACGGCAACTGCAAAGGGGCCACGACGGACAATGAATGCAAGGTCTATTGCGAGCAGAAGCGCAGGTGGCTTTTTGGCGTCGAGGCTGTTGCCCCTGGCCCAGGCGGCGAGGCTCAGCCCGCGGGGGTCAACCAGGAGCTGACCGCTTCAGAAGAGGTCACGGTGACCACAGGCTTTCAGACCAGCATAGAGGGGACTATTGGAGAGATATTTGGTGCCGGTGTCGGCTTCGATTGTGAGTGTTCGCCTCAAGCTCCCATCGTTCCCATCCTCAGACAATAATGCGCAGGGACTACGCTAAGCACGCTCCCCGGTTGCAATGCCGACAGATTCTGTGGGCAAGCCCTCAGGCTATAGCTTGACGCTGGTTGTGGACGAAGATGCCCCAGACGACGACAAAACGGTATATAGCCGGTGGGTCTATTTTCCCAAGGCTCATCGAGACGTGCGGCGTCATGACTGAGAGAAAGTACGTCCCCGGCACGCACGGTGACGGCAACTGTGAGGGCTGCACGCCCGAGCCAGACAGTTGCGGTGACGTGACCAAGAATGACGAGAACGCCTGCTCGATCTCGGCGAGACGCAAGAAGAATGGTGATGCCGAAGTCACCTGGGCATTTAGTGAGTCCCTCCGCCACCCATGCCGTTCCAATGCAACTAGTTCCGCGTCGATACACACGCTGACGATAGCTGTCGCTGGTCGCAGGGTGGGAATATGAAGACTGCAACGCACTGCCATTCGAGAAACAGACCCAAGACAACAAAGATCTCTGTTCCAAAGACGGAAAGGGGGGGAACGATCCTGACGGAGATGGGGAGAGAGAATGCTATAATGACCCGGTCGAGGACCGGCGTCGTGCCCCTTTTAACTTCAGACAGCTCAGGGACACTGTCGGCGCGATGGAAGCCTTCTGAATCATGGTCGCTGATCGCTGAACGCTTCTGTTTATTGCCTACCTGGACACAGTCCATCAGGAGGAGTGCATTTTTCCTCTGATGTAATCATAGTCACCACCACAGGGCCGTCGCAAGAAGGCTCACGGTAGCCCAAGAACAGACAACTTTGTTTCTAACTCTCATTCGTCATCTCGACGCTCAAGATAGTCTTCTATAGCTGGCTTCCGCCGTGCTTATACGTGCAGATGGCAATTGAATAAGCATTTTATTACAAGCGAATTTGCAATTATAAATAATATCCCTGACGATGGCAAAGAAAGTTAGGAAAATGCGGTTGCTGGCACGTTGATTTGTTTTCTTCTTCTTTTGTTCCCAAAATGTCCCATGGGATATTTCAACCGTTCCACGTAGACTCGAAGATATACTAGACCACAACTGACGTTTCCACGCCATGTGTGGTCACTGTGAAAAATCCACAGGATCCCAATCCAAAAACAACAAAAATGGAATGAAGAAGATCTGCATCAGCGGAGTTGATCTCCAGTCCACTAGTGCGAGGAGACATCGCAGCGGGCCATGCTCTGATTGGCCGCAGGGAGCCGGAAACGGCAAAAATGCATCAGCCGTGAATCGAACACGGGGCCCATCGATGGCAACGATGGATTTTACCACTAAACCACTGATGCGATATATTAAGTCCCAATTATCGTTAACTATATAACATGAATCTCACAAACAGGACAATCAAGTGGCTACGAGTAACTTGTTAATGGTAAAGTGTACATCGCGGTGCATGCCGGTGATAAACACGATACAATTATGCTCCTCCGTATAAGCCACCTCTAGAGGCCCAGTAAGGTTCAGGGATTACCCCCTGAGACACAGTTTAACTCTTACTTTTCGTGTCTCCGAACTTGGCCTAGGAACCCTTAGTGTTCAGGTAAGCCAGTAGTTCAGACGTCAAGATTCGGCTCCAAACCCTTGGGGGTACCGAACCTATGATACTACGCTGTTCAATGAGCTTCTTGTAGACCACGAATCCAAATTTGGCTGCGATATGAAAAAGGACCAAGTGCCCCAAGTACTGAGTTCGTCAACCATGTCTTTCCCTACTCTACCCTAATTTTCCGTCGTGTCCTACCATGTAGACATTATTCCGGGGCCAGATCTAACGCCCGCTCCGCTGTATAATACATATTATGCAGAAGAGACAAAAGGGCTCGGTAGGTTCACTGCCACGATCTCGCCTCTACGGTCAACCAAATGCGGGGCGTTGGGGTTGGGGTTTA